CTACCATCTAAGAATGCCAACTCCTATTTATGGCTATAAGCCATTTCCTTATCCAAGCCTCAGATTAAAAACTAAAAGCATGTGTATCATTTTAAAATTGCAAGACAGCCTATTCATTTGTTTCATTTTGCAAAATCCATGGCTTTGAAGTCAACAATTTTCAAGGGCTGTGGTTTTTTGTCAAGGTCATTAAAAGCAGCTAACCAATGACCTCCTTTCCAAGAGGAAGGCTGAATCTTGTAGAAGTTAATGTTCTGAAAAGCAGGAGTTTGCTGGAAAGCACAGAGCTGTCATTTCAAATACTGGTCTCTGGCACCAGAGTGAGGCAGGGACACTGCAGGTCCTACTCTCCACCTATACAGCGTAGATGCTCCCATGCTGATTTGAAGGAAGTCAGACTCGATTTCATCTTTCCCTTGATTGGTAAGTGGCGACTTCCCAGCAAACCCGCATGGAAATAGTAGAGTGCGTTTTAAGTTGATATGGTTCAGTTTCTTGCCTCTTGGCCCAATAGCAGGCTTGGCTGTTAGGACTTCTGTGCTCATCCTCATCCACTTTAGCTCACCCTACAGCTACACAGACCCACACACCGGAAGAAATGGCTATTGTGTTTGTGAAAATGGCTAAACATATACCATAGACCCCCAGATTAGGATCAGTCTGGTGCCTTTGAAAATGTGAATTGGGAGAGGCTGAAAGAAAATCTTTCCCTGGAGAGATTGCTGCAGAAACTCCCTTCTCACTAATGTGCTCACTTAATCTGAGCCTCAGTCTCCTCCAAGAGGCAGATAGCGCTCGCCTTCGGAGTTGTCATGAGGATTAAATAGGATAATGCTTTGAAGCACTTGGCCCAGTTCCCAGCACATGACCAGCTCTCAGTTCTATAAGCTAATACTTGAATGAGTTCCTGGTCCTCTGGTGAAAGAACGGAGCATTCAGCTTGCAAATTAATTCCCGGAAATAAGAAGCACTAAAAGATGGAGAGGAGGGAGAGGGAGGTAGAAGCTCTTGGAAGGCTCTTTTTGTTTTGCTTTGTTTACAGATCCATCCTCCCCCTCAGCCAGCACTGGGTTGTCCAGCCCTCTGTATTCTGGCCCTCCTGTGAATTCCTGGAGGCTTCCAGGGGTGGCTGTCTACCTGTGCTGTCCCTCTATCCTCCCTCCTCTCTCCCCTTCAAACATAAGCCAGTGATCCATGGAGCCCAGGATTGTCCCACACCCTCCATCTCCAAGCTCCTCCATGCCTGCTGGTGCAAAGCCATCCTACACCTGCCCTACCCAGTCTATCCTCATCTCCTTTTTCCTTCTCCATCTCAAACTTCCACACTCCTGCTCAAAAATGAGCAAAGGCAAGTGAAGAGATCTTTATGATGCACCCAATTGTCAAAAAATATGATTGGGAGCAGGACTCAATGGTGCACTTTTATAATCCCAGCAGCTTAGGAGACTGAGGCAAGAAGATCTCAAGTTCAAAGCCAGTCTTGGCAACTTAGTGAGGTCCTAGGCAACTTGATGAGACCCTGACTCTAAATATAATATTAAAAAGGGCTGGGGATGTATGTGGCTCAGTGATTAAGCACCCCTGGATTCAATCCCTGGTACCAAAAAATATATATATATGATTGGGGAAGAGTGAACATGTGAGGTGCATTCTAACATGGCTACTCTTGATTTGAAAGTGTTGCTGGAGCATCAATGGGCTCACAATAAATCCCTTATAAATTTCAACTGTCTGTAGTTGCTGAGGAACCAAAAGAAATTAGTGTTTTCTGATCAATGCACTATTTTGGAATTTGGGGGTCCAAATGGCCAATGGTAATAGAAGGAGATGCCTGACAAAAAGCCACCTGAAACCTGGCAGACTAACACTTTACAATTATTATTTGATTTACACTGCATCTACTATTCATAAATTCACCAGTGTTGAGATTATGTCTTCACACAGATGAAAATTAACTGTACTCTTGGTACATAATCTAATGTTAGCATACATACTAACCGATGTGTGTGCATATATATTTAATACAACCAATTTGATGGTGTGCATATACTTAATTTAGCATATATATACTCTAACTTATTTATCAGCATAGACAATATCAATTTGATGATGGTATACTTAGTTGCTGTTGAATAAATCAGAGTAGAGCTTAAAAAATAAAGTAACAAAAATACCCAAACTTGGGTTATGGTATGAGCAGTTAGTAAAGACATATATCCAAATGACTAATTGTGGAAGCTCTGAAAAAAATTCTAAATTGGGATACTTTGAAATTAGACCTCTAATTCAAAGCCAACCAACAACCAAACACTGATGATGTGTCTAACTGACAAATGAGAATAATAAAGACTTTATCAAGTGACTAGGAGGCTAATTTATATTCCGGATCTAGAAATTGTTTGTTTTATTGCTAGTGGGATACATGTAAATAGACAAAACAAATAAATTAAAACCTCTCAGCACCTACTGCAAATACCAAAACAGTGCCTGGAACATACAGTTTTAATTAAAATTAAAGGTCCTAGGGAAGTCTGTCTGGGTGCTTTGAAAAACATCATTAAAGGATGAAAAGAATGGAATCTTTCACAATTAACCTACCCTCTCTAAGGCAAAGATCCCATTATCAAAACATTTATTTATCTCTGTGCAGCAGAAATAAGGGGTTATATGCCTCTTGTAAAGGCTAAATGACAGGAAAATGTATGGTTTCTTAACAGAAAAGTTCCTCCTGGAAGAAATTAAAACACTGCATTTATTTTTAGAAAAAGAAATCTCATTGAAGGGTTGTTATTCCACAACAGGCCTATTTCTCATGTTCTTCGTGTGGAGGTGGGGGACTCTCATAAAAAAGAATAAAATGCCTTCTGTATTTTGGAATTCAGGTGGGAGAATTAAGACATTTTTGAATAAGTCTACCAACCTCTCACATATAATTGTTCTAGAGGTTTTTGTTATTTGTGTTCTGCTTGCTTTCTGGCCAGTATAATGCAGCATAATCTCATTCTACCAGTACAATACACAAAGGAGCCTCGGCTCTGTTATAAATGATCAGGAACCAAATATCTATAAAGCATAATGAGAATCATGAGCACTAGCAGTATTCATCACTGGAAAAATAATAGGGATTATAAAACCTAAAAGCCAAGTAGTTTGAAACTTTCTGCAGGTAGTGCTTTCTTTGAGCAGCTTTTTTGTGCATGCCTTTGTGGCTACTTTCTGGATATCTTTTCTATTTCTCATCATGGGTACCATGGGCCTTTAGAACAACACAATTCACTGTTGCCTGGCATGCTGTGGGGCTTTGAAGTCTCCACTACTGCACACTAAATGCCAAAAGCACCCACGGTTCCTGTCATACGCAAAATCACCCTCGTACATTTCCAAAGGTCTCCTAAGAAGTCCTACCTCCCTGATTGGATATCCCTGCCAGTGGGTCAAGTGTGAGGCATGGAGAAAAGATTGAATCCCATTTGGTATTGCCAGAGGGTAGATGATTTGAATTTTTAAGAGACTTTGGTGGTAGAGTTTTGAAAAAAATAAACCTTCACACTGTAGTTCTCTGATACGAATACAGAGAATGTAACCACACACAGAGTCCATGCTATACCTTGGTCACAACAGATGATCTAGCCCTTGGCAGCTAATAGACACTGCGAGGCTCAGGATGGCTTGCTAGGCCAAAGAAAGTCGCACTAGCACTATCCAAACTTGGGTCATCACCCCAGCAGATGCCCTCAAATGTTCTGCATTCTCAGAAGTGGCTTCTGAAATCTCATTTATTCAAAAGAACCTGAATCTGGCTCTGTTTCCTCTGCTGCTCTTAAGAGAGGTGGAGTCCACCATTGGGAACATCTCTGGAACAATCTTTTCAGGGCCAGGCTGGGCTTTGCCAAACTTCAACTCATCACTAATCAGAGTGTCACCAAAGGCTAGGCTAATGGGGTAAAGGAAGCAGTATAGAGAATTGAATCACCTGTCTTTTTAACTAAAAGCATTTTTGTCATTTGAAGAGACATCTGTGTTCTGAAGCTTTGTCTAAATGAGCTTTTTGGCAAAGTTTTACTTTTAGAGCTATTTCAATGATTAGTGTATTCAAATCATTTCCTTCCCTCTTAAACAAGTTCTGCCCAACTTGGGTTACATGTAAAATGAAACAGGAACATTGGCAAAGAATATCTCTGTGTTTTCCTGTTGAAACTCTCAGTGAGACTCGGTGGTGGAGCTCATGGTTAGCCTGTTCAATCCCCAGCACCATCCTCTCACACACACAGTAGGATCCAAAATCTAAACGTTAGAGCTATAAGCTATAAATCTCTTAGAAGAAAATTAGGACAAAAGCTTCACATCATCAGATTCGGCAAAAATTTCTTGTATATGACACCAAAGACACAGGAAGCAACAGCAAATAGACAAACCGGAATTCACAATCATTTAAAACTGCTGTGCATCAGAGGACAACATCAGCAGTGAAAAGGCAGCCCATGTAACGGGGGAAAATATCTGCAAACAATTTATTTGATAAGAGGTTAACATCCTGGATATATAAGCGCCTACGCCTCAAGAACAGCAGTGTATGAGGGAACCTTTTCCCCACATCCTTGCAACATTTTTTGATACTTGTATTCTTGATAATTGCCTTTCTGACTAGAGTGAGATGAAATCTCAATGTAATTTTAATTTGTATTTCTCTAATTGCTAGAGATGTCGAACATTCTTTCATATATTTGTTGACCATTTATATTTCTTCTTCTGTGAAGTGCCTGTTTAGTTCCTTTGCCCATTTATTGATTGGGTTATTTGTGGTTTTTTGGTGTTAATTTTTGAGTTCTTATTATATCCTGGAGACTAATGCTCTAGCTGAGGTGCTGGTGGCAAAGATTTTTCTCCTATTCTGTGGGTTCTCTTTTCAGGTTTTTGATTGTTTCCTTTTACTGTGAAGAAGCTCTTTAGTCTGATACCATCCCATTTATTGATTCTTAATTTTATTTTTTGTGCTTTAGGAGTCTTGTTGAGGAATTCGGTTCCTAAGCTGACATGACAGAGATTTGGGCCTACTTTTTCTTCTAGTAGGTATAATGCCTAGATCCTTGATCCACTTTTGAGTTGAGTTTTGGGAAGGGTGAGAGATATGGGTTTAATTATATTTATGTGGGTTTGTCTCTGTATCTTCTATTCTATTTCATTGGTATTCATGTCTGTTTTGGTGCCAATACCATGTCATTTTTATTATCCTGTAGTAAAATTCAAAGTCTGGTATTGTGATGCCTCCTATTTCACTTTTCTCACTAAGGATTGCTTTGGCTATTCTAGGCCTCTTATTTTTCCAAATGAATTTCTTGACTATTTTTAGTATATATATATATACACAATGGAATATTACTCTGCCATAAATAAGAATGAAATTTTGACATTTGCAGGTAAATGGTTGAAACTGGAGACTATTAAGCTAAGTGAAAATAAGCCAATCCCCCCCAAACCAAAGGCTGAATGGTTCTCTCTGATATGTGGTTGCTAACATACTATAAGGGGAGTGGGAGTGGGAGGGAAGAATAGAAGTTCATTGGATTAGACAAAGGGGAAGGAAGGGAAGGGAGGGAAGATGGGAATAGGAAAGACAGTAGGATGAATTGGACATAACTTTCCTATGTTATATATGAATACACACCCAGTGAAATTCCACATTATGTACAACCACAAGAATGGGATCCTAATTAGAATAAGTTATACTCCATGTATGTATAATATGTCAAAATATACTCTACTGTCATATATATCTAAAGAGAATAACAACAACAACAAAACCAGGAATAAAAACCCAGTTCAAAAATGGAAAATGGAGCATTGGTTGTGTATGCCTATAACCCAGCAGCTTTGAAAGCTGAGGCAGGAGGAATGCAGTTTCGTAGCCAGCCTTAGCAACTTAGTGAGGCCCTAAGCAACTTAGCAAGATCCTGTCTCAAAATAAAATATAAAGCCAGCTGGGGGTGTGGCTCAGTGGTTAAGTTCCCTGACTTCAATCCCTGGTACCAAAAAAAAAAAAAAAAAAAGACAAGAATAGAAAATGAACTTGAAGACATTTCACCAAAGATGATATATGAATAACCAATAAGCATTTTAAAAAGACATTCAACATCACTAATCATTAGGGAAATTCAAATTAAAATGACACATCATACCCACTAGGATAACAAACAAAACAAACAAACAAAATGCCAGAAAATAGCAAGTGTTGGAAAGATGTAGAAAAATTGGAACCCATGGTGGAAAATAGTATGGTGATTCCTCAAAAAAATTAAATAGAGGTTAACCATATGAGCCACCAATTCCACTTTTGGATACATACTCAAAAGAATTAAAAGCCAGGTCTAAAAAAGATGTTTGTACACCAATGTTCATAGCAGCATTTTCATAGTAGCTAAAATGTGGAAGCAACAAATGTGTCCATCAATAGATTGAAGGAGCTGGGCCCACTGCCACACACCTGTAATCCTAGCAGCTCAGAATGCTAAGATAGGAAGATTGAAAGTTCAAAGCAAGTCAGCAAAAGTGAAGTGCTAAGCAACTCAGTGAGACCCTGTCTCTAAATAAAATCCAAAATAGGGCTGGGGATGTGGCTCAGTGGTCGAGGGCCCCTCAGTTCAATCTCCAACATGCCCCCCCCAAAATAGATTGATGGATAAAATATAATATATACATACAATGGAATATTATTCAACCTTAGAAAGGAAGAATATTCTGACATGTTATCACATGGCTGAACCTTGAAGATGCTATGCTAAATTAAATAAGCCAGTCACAAAAAGACAAATGGTATATGATTTTGCTTGTATGAAGCAACTAAAAGTAGTTCAGAATCAGAGACAGACAGTGGAATAGTGGTTGTCAATGGCTCGGGGGAGGGAGAATGGGAAAATATTGTTTAATAGAGTTTCAGTTTTGCAAGATAAAAAGTTCTGGAGTTAGATGCTGGTTGTACAACAAATTAAATGTACTGAATACTACTGAACTACATTCTTGGAAATTATGATCATAATTCATTTGCTCTGTATTTACCACAGGAAAAAAATAGGGGGAAAAAGAATCAGTACTTCAGAGAATCAGTAACGTAGAGGTCTCCTTTTAGAGGAAGGAGGAAGGATTGGAGGGAGGGATGGAGGAAGAAGAGAGTAAGAGAGAGAAAAATAGTATGTGTTAGAGGTATACTGCCCAAATAACTCAAGCTTAGAAAACAGCTAACTTTTACTTACTTACTTACCACAGTTAGATATGAAAATGGCTTTTCTCTTCCTCCTCTCACATAGTTTTGTTTGTCTGTCTGTCTGTATTTTAGGGCTTTTTTTTTTCTTTTTGTTGTTTTGCAGCACTTGGTTCTACAGGGTTTGAATAAATCCACATAAGCCAGAAATAGAGACATATCACATGGTGTTTCAGGAAATAGCTGGAAAGCATGGCTGCATATATGTTGCCTTTCATAACATTTACAAAGGCACTTGCTTTTAGGACACTGTGGGGTTTGACATTTTGGGGTGTAACTTTTCCTTTTATGACCTTCAAATTTTGTCTAAGTCACAACATGAGTGAAGAGCATCAAAGGAAATGAACTTCAAAAAATGATGACCTGGTTCTTTGAAGATCTGTCAACATAGTATTCTGAGTTTGAATGTTGTGAGGCACAGTTGGGGTGGGGTCCTATTGAGGACCCACTCCAGGATAGATCAGAGTCAATCAAAATGATTAACCACTAATATCTGATGTTGTTTGATGTAGGGGGAAAAAAAGAGAAGAAAGAGAAAGCATTCAGAACATGGAAGGGAATCCAGTGAATTCCAATGAATGTACAGACGTCCATTCTATATTATGACCAGTTTCAAAGAGAAAGAAGAGACTGGATCAAAAAAAGAAAAACTACTGGGGTGGAGAGAGTAAAGCACCCAAAACATGCATGGTGTGAGAGAAGGGAGCTGGAGCCTCAGATCCCACTCCCTGCCCAACCCAGCTCTGCGCCAGTGTTTCCAGCTCCTCTCTCCTCCCACCCCAGCTCTGGGCAGCATTTCCTACCCTCCAGTCCTGCTCCTTTATCTGTGGATCCCACCCTCTGTGTTTTTAGCCTGAGTGCCTCTCTTTACCTTCCAGTTGGTGAAGATCCCCCCACCCAAGTGACTCTAAGCCTAAGTGGATCCAGGGTCCTTGCTACATGATTCTTACTCCTCACCAAATGCCATAGTTAGTTTTTAAGAAATCGAGTGCTTCTTTAGGACACTGGTCTAGAACTCTAGAGTTCTTCCTGGCTCTTCAGGAGGGGGATTTTTTTCCCTTGCTTTTGTGGAAATGCAGCTGAGTGTGAAGAGGGGGAAATGTACGAAGTGATTCCAGAGTTGGCACGGGCCTTTGTCTGGGTCATATGGTAAAACAAGAACCTAGAGGATGTAGCTGCCTAAAACTAGAAACCCAAAGCCTGTGTTTAACTTTTAAGTCTATTTGGGTTTCAAATGTGTTCCCTCTCCAGCATTTTTAAACACCTGCCCCTTCCTTCTATCCCCACCTCGATTTCCCTCCTCCCTACTTCCCTTCCCTACTCCTGCCAAGGTCTCCTTTCAGGACAGGCAGAATGGCTTTCCCACTCCAAAGTTGGTCATGTCCGAATTCCTGGAACCTGTCAGTACATTATATTACCTGGAAAGGGGGGGGGGGGGGATTCAGTTTGCAGATGGAATTAAGGTTGCTAATCAGCTGACCTAAAAGAGAGACAGGAACAGAAGATGAGTCAGAGGGAGATGTGACTTCAGCGGAGTGATGTGATGTAAAAACTCAACTCACTTTTGCCAGCTTTGAAGAAACTTTGGAAAGGAAGGGGCCAAGTGCCAAGGAATGCAGGTAGCTTCTAGAAGCTAGAGAAAGAAAGGAAGCAGATTCTCTCTTAAGAAATGAATTCACCCCCAGAGGGAACACAGCCCTGCTCACACCTGGATTTTAGCCTCAGGGTACCCCGTTTTAGAGTTCTGATCTCTAATGTTTAAGTCACTAAATGTGTAATGGTCTGCTACAGTAGCACTAGAACTAAACACACACTCTCCATCTCAGTCTCCTCAGGACACTCACGGCTTTTCCAGGCATTAGGACACCAACTTTCCTAGATGCATTAATGGAAATAATGGAGCATTTTAATCAGTTAATAGCATATCTGTTGGCCAGTGACAGAAAACCTCTTACTAATGGTGGTGTATGCAAGATAGGCACTTATTCCTCTCTCGTGTCAAAGCGGGCCAGTGCACGGCTGGCCTGGTGTCTCCACAAAGTCATTAAAGACTCATATCCTTCCTGCTCATCCTAGAGTGTTCAAGATGGTCAGCAGCAGAAGGCAGGAGACACAAGGGGTTAACTCCTTCCTTCAAGGGCACTTCATATATATACAGATGGACACAACACCTTTATTTATTTATTTTTATGTGGTGCTGAGGATCGTACCCAGTGGCTCCCATGGGCTAGGCAAGCACTCTACCACTGAGCTACAACCCCAACCCCTTCAAGGATGCTTCTGCTTAAATCACATTGAGCAAAATTTAATCAGATAACAATATCTACTTGCAAGGGAAGCTGGAGAATGTCTTTCAGCAAACTATACCCTGTTAAGATTCAGGGTTCTTATGATCTCTGGTTTTGTTTTTTTTTTTTTAAAGGTCATTATTAATAAGAGGAAGGGATAGTGGGAGGCAAATTGTGGTCTCTGCTACAAGTTACTGTGTGATCTGGTTTAGATTCGAGAGCTGAAGAGTATTTGGACAGACTCCCAAGTATTCCACAGGTTCAAAATGCTGTGATTATATGCATCCATGTAATGAATGAATACTAGTTTGTCAAAAACATTAGCTTCACAGAACCCTGTCCAGGGGATACATTATCCAGATACCAACTCTGGATGAATGGAAGGGTTAGGCTCCTCTACAGAGTAAGTCACTACTCCATCTCCATGCTATGATGTTTGATGGACTATAGATGTTGATTTGACTGTGGGAATATCATTAGCTGTAAGGCTGAGGTGACTGGGTTCCTAACCATGCTGATAAAATCAAAGTTTTTGTTGTGGTTGTTGTTTTAACGTGCGTTTTCCCCTCCCTTGATCTCCAAATGTACGAAAGTAGAGTTTGGGGATCTTTGAGGCTTCAAAACTCCCATCAGTCTTCCCTCTCATTTGTTTTGTCTCCAAACTCTTTGAAAATGAGTCACAGGAACAGTTAATTATCTTCTAATTTATACTGCAAATGCTGTTGGGTGGCTTATTTTGCAGTATTCATTACAAAGTAACATTCTCTATAAAGATACATGTGTGTTTACAGAAAATTATATATAATTTCTTCTTTTGTCTTGAAGAAATATATCAAGAAATAAGTGCCAAAGGAAGTAGTTTTTTGACTTTTGCACTTTTTTGTAATTAAAACAATTGTTTTTTGGTTTTAGTGGGGGAGGTAAAACTATGTATGAAACTTGCTGGGATTATTCTTCCTTCCCTAAGTTTTCTATGTGTCTTCTTTCCTTCTTGAGATGGGTAACCTCATCCTGCTCCATCCTTAAATAAAAAGATTTCCCAAAGTTAGCAAAGGTCAAGGCTTTTAATATAATGTCTTCAGAACAAGATTTTCCTAGTGTTGACTGAAGCAGTGTTTAACTTTTCTCATTTCTTGGGTCATGTACTTCTAGCTAAATTGAAGCTCTCTGATACCGCTTCAATATTGGGCATCAGTGACCTCAAGAGCCATATTCACACAGTTGGTCCTGAAATAGCATAGGGCACCTTGACATGGAGCAAGACCCAATTAGAACATGAGGGAAATGAGCACTGAAAAGAAAACAGGAAATTTTTAAGATGAACAACAGGAATAAAGGGAGATGATATGTCAATAAAGGATTAGAAGACAAATGACAATGGGTAGGGCTTGAAGTGGGTGCAGGCACACCAGAGGAGGAGGTCTACACCGCTGAGCAAAGACGTCTTCTCGTGATCTACACAGTTGGCAGAACTCCACTCTCAAAACGTGTGCTTGGGCTGGGGATGTGGCTCAAGCGGTAGCACGCTCGCTGGCATGCGTGCGGCCCGGGTTCGATCCTCAGCACCACATACAAAGATGTTGTGTCCGCTGAAAACTAAAAAAAATAAAAATAAATATTAAAAAAGATTCTCTCTCTCTCTCTTAAAAAAATTAAAAAAAAAAAACATGTGTGCTCCATTCCATGTTTATAAAAGAAGCAAGTCTTTTGTACTTAATTTAGAAGAAACAATGATAGGCTAATTGATGTATTTAACAATTTAAAGATGGCGATCCCTCTGCCCTGACATTATTGGTGTACTCCTAAAGAATGATGAGAGTAGCAAATAGTTGTAAGTCAAGCTGTAATTCACACAGAATAGGGAGGAATGGCTATTTACAACAATGCTGGGTGAAGTGACACTGAGAAGCCAGCCCTCCTGCTGCAGTGTCGCTGCCACAAATAGATTGAGGTGTCACCCTTAACCAGCAGGGTGGGTTTTGAGGCCTTTTGGAGAACATTGAAAACAATGTCTTGAGTCCTAAAGGAACATAGAATTTACCCACCATCCCTCTGCTCATCTTCCCCTCCTCATCCTCTGAACACACTTACCTCAGAATCTAACAATATTAGGATTCAATAGACTACAGCAACCACCACAGTAATAATGCACAGCATCACCTTATCATTTGGAACTTATATTATAAATCAAGATAATTTGACTATCTTGTTTTCTTTTTTAAAAAAAATATTTATTTTTTATTTGTTGTTGGGCACAATACCTTTTTTTTTAATTTATTTTTATGTGGTGCTAAGGATGGAACCCAAGGCCTTGCATGTGTAGGCAAGCACTCTACCTCTGAGCCACAATTATTTTCTTATTGTGGAAGAATATCTTATTCTACCTAATTTGATGAACATTCTCCCCCACCATCACCCTCCAAGAAGTGGCAGTGTGTGTGTGTTAAGCGGGTGAAGCATTGCAAAATGAAACCTCATCTTCTGGTCTGCCTGCCAGTCGGGCGTAGTACTAACAGGAATGCAGAGAGCTGGAGGAGCTGGGCCTGGCTATAACCACGGTTTTAGGATCCCCTGGTTGCAAAGAACTTGCCCATCTGGTGGCTCCTTCTCTGATAGTCTTCCTCTTTGTGTTTTCTTCTAGACTGTCTGAACATCCCATCCAGCACTCCGATGGCTAGCAACAACACCGCCAGCATAGCACAAGCTAGGAAGCTGGTAGAACAGCTCAAGATGGAAGCCAACATCGACAGGATAAAGGTGAGGACCACTTAACCCCCACAGTTCATCTGCCTGACGACAAGGAGCACAGTTTGCAGCCATCTGTCATTTGACTACTCTTCCATAGAGAGGGATGAGAGCAGAAATGATAGTACAGAAATTTAATGATTGGGTAAATGGTCCTTTTTCTACTGTGTCTTTGCCTTCTCTAGATTTCTCTAGTATAAAATAATAGCATAAACCGCTACATCGATGTTCATAGCAGCACAATTCACAATAGCAAGACTGTGGAACCAACCTAGATGCCCTTCAATAGACGAATGGATAAAAAAAAATGTGGCATTTATACACAATGGAGTATTACTCTGCATTAAAAAATGACAAAATCATAGAATTTGCAGGGAAATGGATGGCATTAGAGCAGATTATGCTAAGTGAAGCTAGCCAATCCCTAAAAAACAAATGCCAAATGTCTTCTTTGATATAAGGAGAGTAACTAAGAACAGAGTAGGGACGAAGAGCAGGAGAAGAAGATTAACATTAAACAGGGATGAGAGGTGGGAGGGAAAGGGAGAGAGAAAGGAAATTGCATGGAAATGGAAGGAGACCCTCAGGGTTATACAAAAGTACATACAAGAGGAAGTGAGGGGAAAGGGAAAAATAATACAAGGGGGACAAATGAATGACAGTAGAGGGGGTAGAGAGAGAAGAGGGGAGGGGAGGGGAGGGGAGGGGAGGGGGGATAGTAGAGGATAGGAAAGGCAGCAGAACACAACAGACACTAGTATGGCAATATGTAAATCAATGGATGTGTAACTGATGTAATTCTGCAATCTGTATATGGGGTAAAAATGGGAGTTCATAACCCACTTGAATCAAAGTGTGAAATATGATATATCAAGAAATTTGTAATGTTTTGAACAACCAACAATAAAAAATTAAAAAAAAAAACTAACTCAGCCACATTTTGAAAAAAAAAATAATAGCATAAAATAAAGCTGGTTCTTCTTGTCAAATTAAAAACAAAACAACACTAAAACAGAGCAAAAAGTAAAACACAGGCTCATGGCTGAATTCCAGCTAGGAAAATGGAATGTGTGGCAGGTTGGTCCACCGGTTCACCTCCCTGACTTTTTAGAGGTACTCTTCTCATTTGGGTTCTTACTTTTCTGTCCTTACTCAGGTTCTAAGACTCTTTCTTTTAACCCTTCTATTCACCCTTGTTGGTTCATTTTTTCTTCCTTATACCCTCTTGGATTTTTTTCCTTTAACACACAAAGGTGAAACTTGATCTCCCTAAGAATAAAACAACAGGGTTATGAGTTTTTTTGGTTTGTTTGGTGGGTTGATGTGTATAGTGGGGGGTTGGTACTGGGGATGGAAACCAGGGATTCTCTCCCACTGAGCTTCATCCTCAGTCCTTTAATTCTTTGTTTCGAGACAGGGTCTAAGTTGTCAAGGCTGGCCTTGAACTTGCTGTTCTCCTGCCTGCGTTGCTGGGATGACAGGTGTGCACCACCATGCCCAGCCAACATAAGAGTTTTAATGAAAGTTAATAGTCTACTTCTTTTTCTTTCTCTGACTCCTGAAACCCAACCTGACAGCTTTGCCATATATCAGGGCTGATATTTGAAGCAAGGCTTCAAATCCAAAACCTTTGTTGCCAGATTTTGAATGTGAAGGTGGCTCCACAGCTATCTATTGTGAATAGACAGCCAGAGAAGGATAATCAGAAGGATTTGTGTCAATCATCACAACTCTACTTCCCTAGGAACATTCTATAAAATGGAACACAGAAATGTATCTTATTGTTCTAACAAAAAAAAAAAAAAAAACCAAAATACTCTTCTAAATGCCTTTTTAAACTAGAGCATTCATCCTACTTTCCAAACCTAAGATATTTACCCTCTGGCCTATTACAGAAACAGTTTGCTGACTCTGGTTGAAAGCCAATGGTTCTCAGCCCATCTGTATATTCACATTACCCAGACGGTTATACAAAAGGACCAATTCCAATACCATACCTAAACCAATTGGAATCTCTTGGGTATGGTCCAGGCATCAGTATTTTTTCATGTTTTTGATTTATTAATCAAAACAATCATGTATAGCAAAGTTTGAAAATTGCTGTCCCGGGGGAAGTGCTTTGGTCCTTCTGGATCCCATCAGATATGTCTTGGAGAGTGAAGGGAAAGCTCATCTTTCTCCATAAGTTAGCTGAGCAAATATCCAGGGATGTTTTCCCATCAGTCCTAAACCCCCTTTGTAAAATTTGACTAGTGGTCATGGGCCATAAGGTTTAATCAGTGCCTGCTCTTCTTTCGACTGCTTTAATTCTTCTTGATCCACGAATGAGGTAAATAAAAGGTCCCTTCCTCTGCCTCGCTCCTTTGCCATTTTCTGCTGTTCCTCCTTCCTGGCCTCTTCTTTTCTGTTCTCTTTCTGGAAAAGTACAAAGTGACAAGTTGGGCATACCAACTGCTGAGAGAAGCAAGGTGGCTCAAGGACGGTGGGATCAGAAAAGGACATTTGGTTATTTTAGTGGAAGGAGGGTTCTGCCTGCAGGCATTCTGGAAAATGCCACTTTGCCTTTTGGGCTGCCCAGGGAAGATAAAAGTTCATGAAGCTCTACTGTGGTTGGCATTTGCGGTTTCTGCTCAGCATCCCCAGGCACTGTTCCTGAAGGAGGTGTACTGATGGCTGGTGGAAACTGACAGGAGTGGGAGAAGAACTGAAATAGACATTTTTAGTGATAGGTCAGACCTTCATCATCCCTCTCCTGAATGACTGACTGACTGCAAGGGGTTCCTACCGGATCTCTGCAATCCCATCTCAACCCACCTCCATTGTTATCGATTACCTGTCACATTGCCACCAAAGTAAACTTTACAAAAGAAAATCCCATTGTGTTTGTTTCCCACTAGAAATCTCACCATGATTCCGCATCACTGGTTGGATACAATTCAAATGCTTTAGCAGGGTCATGAGGTTCCTCTGGTCCCCAGTCACTACTTCAGCTTCATCCCCTTCCTGTCACCCACAGGTCTTATTAAGTCACTTTGAATTTTCTTGATGGCAATTTCAAATGTCTAGAACATTCTTTCTACCTTTCTGCTTTACTAATGCTTAACTGCATTGACTCCTTGAAGAATCAGACCAGTCTTTAGGTCCTTTAAGAAGCTTTCCTAGAGCTGAGCACAGTGGCACATGCCTGAAATCTCAGCACCGCCGGAGGCTAAGGCAGGAGGATTGTGAGTTCAAAGCCAGCCACAGAAACTTAGTGAGGCCCTAAGTAACGCAGTGAGACCCGGTATCTAAAAAAATATGAAAAAGGGGCTGGGGATATAGCTCAGTGTTTGAGTGCCCTGGGTTCAATCCCGGGTACCAAAAAAAAAAAAAAAAAAAAAACGCTTTCCTAGACTTTCCTCATAAAGTTTTGCTGATTGCTCATTCATTCATTTATCTAATATTTTATTGGGAGTTTTCTAAACTGCTAGTACTTATTAGGTTCCAGAGATCGGGAGATGGATAAAACACAATTCTTGGGGTTGAGGGTATAGCTCTATGGTAGAGTGCTTGCCTAATAAACTCATGACCCTGGGTTCCATCCTCAGCCCCATAAAAAAAAAAATGTTTTTTAATGATTGTTTTCCCTCAAATATCTGTAGCCTAGTAAGATTTATATTAAAGAATTATGAACAAGACCTGTTATCAACACAAATAAAATATCCCAGAAGCACAATTACCATTGTGAAAGAAACCAACCCCATGTCCTGATTGTCCTTTAAAGAGACACAAATAAATCACTACTAAAAGATATACAGAGCATTAACCTTCTAAACTGAGCACCAAATGGTTGCCTTCCTAGGTGATCTGCACTCAGATCTCTGGCCCTTCTTGACATCATTCAGCTTTACCTTGCTGGAAATGCAGGAGCAGCCTCTATTTTGGCATTTGTTCTGCACTTCAGAGCCAGGCCTGCATGCTGTGGTGAAGTGACAGAAAACTTTTCGTTTAGCTGTTGGATAAAACTACAGTTGGGTTGACACAGTTATCAGTTATCAGCTGGTTTGGGGCTTGGTTATCAGGGCTTCTGAGCATTCAGCTTCTCCATGTATTTTCTGTGTATGATGCTGCCAGCAGGAAGGGGCTTCTCTCCAAAGGTGCCAGACTTGTGATTTTTTTTCACTTAGAGTCATGACCCCTTTGAGCTAAAAGGACAACAATACTTGTATGTACAACCGGCAGAACCTACTGCAGCTTGGTGACAAAGAGGAGGACTCTTAATAAGAGGAGATGGAGTTCACTGGAGCTGCTAAGGGGCCCTTAAACAGGGAGTAGTCTTGACCCTCAGGTGACCCCAGAGTAACTCAGGCTGCAGAGAGTAGTCCTAGGAGATCTGAATAACATTTTTGCTTTTCAAGTTTTTTTGTTTTCTATCCCTTTGCATCACAGGTCCTGGGAGACTTGGGCTAATGAAACCATTATCTGTTCATAAGCCCCAGGCATATACAGATTATCCTCCCAGCTTTTCTCTTTGTTATCATTTCATTCAAGGACAGAGAGTAAAGAGAAATAAAAGAAAAATGGGGAGGGGCAGGTTGTGAACTGTGACACTTTGATTTATGTAAATACACCAATATGGAGCAACAACAGAATAAAAGAGAGCTTGACCTTAGAGCATTAGTGAAGGGAACGTGTACCAAAGGGGAGAGAGGAAGGTTCAGCAAATGTCTTCATTCATCATTGCATTAGAACTCGTCAGGCACGTAATAACAAGAAAAGACATGGGGTGCCTCAATCTGAAAGCAGAAGTGTAGCTGGGTAAGGGAGAAGTGAAAGGCCACTGGGAACTGTGAGAGCTCTGTCACATGTCTCTGTTTTTATGTCTTCTATCTATGTAGTTCCTTGGAAGAATGGATTTCTCAGCTGCCTGGTTGATGTGGCAGATGCAAGATGGCCACCCATAGCTCCAGGGTAGCACTCACAGTTCCAGCTCCATGAAGAAAGAGACAGATTGATTCAATTAATTCCTTTCA